TATTTCTTGTATATATTCTTTTTATTTTATTTATCATTTTTAGGCCAGCAGTACTTCTATTAGTACTGTAGAGAGAAATTGCGCAATAGAGAGACTCTGAGCTGGGAGCCAGAGGTTGGAATAGTTAGGCTCTGCCCTATAAAAATTTTTTATAGGGCTGAGTTGGGAACCAGAGGCCTGTAACATAGATTAGTGGACCCTGAGCTGTGAGCTGTAATCAGGGAGATATATATATTGGACATTTTTATTTATTTTATCTTATATACTTATTGGACACATCCCAAGCTGTAATTGAATTTTACATGCTTGCAATGTCAATATTTTTTTGGGTTACAACTTCCTAGTTGCAGAGCCATCTTTAATTATATTTATATTATTGTTTATTATTTATATTAGTTTATATTATTATTTATATTATCAATCTTATGTATTTCCTATAAAAAGGACATCAATCTAAGTCAAGGTTGGGTGCCAAAAGAAAATGTGCCAAAATAGGGTTTCTAGACTTTAAGGAATTTGTCAAAAGTTGAAAGTGCCAAAAGTGCCAAAATTGACACGATTGTAATTAAGGTTAACCAATTGTTTTGTAAACTTTAAAATATTTATGTTTTTATGATTCAAAGTGTAAATAAACAAAAAAATTTTTCATCATGTCCAATTCTAATTAACCGATTCCTTCTCAATCATCATCATCATGCAATATGGATTTACAAACATTAAATCTAGATAATATATCTGAAAATTCATATAATAATCAAGAATTAATAGTTATGGGACATCCTGTGTCTGATGTATGGTCACATTTTATTAAAGGAAGGGAAAGAACAAAAAGGCATTACTCAGCATCTTGCAATTATTGTCCAAAAACCTGGAATCATGGAGCTCCTTCTAGACTCAAATCTCATTTAGCTAATGAATGCCCTGGATGTCATTATTCTATTTTTCATTTTTATTTAGATGTAATTAACAATCAACAAAATGATGCAAATGTCTTAAATAAAGATATCATAAAAGAAAAAACAAACAAAAAACAAAAACCCCAAACTCTTTTATCAAACTTTTATGAAAGCACTACTCTAACTGATCAAAGAAAAAATTCAATTAATAAATCATTACTACAAGCCTTTGTTTGTTGTGGTATACAGTGTATAAAATACAGTGGGAGGGTGTAACATTATGCAACCCACGTGCACACATTTTTATTTTTCCAATGCTCTAGTGCTTTTAAAAAATCAAAAATTTCAATTTGTGGTCCATTATTAAATGATCATCTAATGTGTCTACATTCATTTGTTTTCTCATATTATTTTTAATTAACTTTGTTTGAGAAAATCTTCTTCCTACATGAGCATTAGAAAGGGGTATAAGAAATCCCATTCTAGCAACTAATAATATATTTGAATTATTAAAAGAAAAATCCTCATCAGTATCTAAATTGTGTTTTCGCAACTGAATGAAATTGATTTCTCTATTATTATTTTATAGTACTGAAGAAAAGTTTGTTGAATTTATTCTTGTTAAGTTCTCCTTTGTCAACAATTCCACTAAATTTATTTCCATTTGCAAATTTAATTTATCCATAGAAATTACCTATAATTGCATAAGTGACAAATTTAAATTTTAGTTAATTTATTTTGTGCACACATATTTAAAGTGTAATGTTACACCCTCCCACTGAATTTTATACACTGGTGGTATACCATGGAATATAATTGAAACCCTTTTTTTATAGAAGTTTTGAAACAATTAAGACCTGTATATGAACCTCCTTCTCATAAATATTTATCATAAAAATTACTTACAGATGAAATTTCATTAATTAATTCACAATTAAATACAATCTTTGATTCAAATGATAATTTAACATTAGCATTAGATGGTTGGTCCAATCCTAGGTGTAATTCAATTTGGGATTTTTTAATATACACATCAAACAGGCAACAATATTTATTTTCAGTAGAAAATTTTTCTCATAGTAGCCATACAGGTCAACTTCTTGCTGAAAAAATTAAAGAAATATTGATAAGAATAGGTCCATGAAAATTCACTGCCATAGTAACTGATAATGGATCTAATGTTAATTTAGCTAGAGAAATAGTTTCTAAAGAATTCCCTCATATATTTAACCTTAGATGCATTGCTCACTGTGTGAATCTAATTCCTAAGGATTTCTTCAGTATCCTTTTGCAAAAAAGCATCTTTCATTATGTAATAGAATCATTAAATTTTTTAAAAAATCACACCAAGTGTAACAATCCTCGAAATAATATGTCTCACAAATGGCATTTAATTTTATTACTATATTTGGTAAGAGGAATTCTTTTTTTTATCGTTTAATTTAAGTTACTTGGCAATCAGGATTTTTGGTTAAATAATTATACATATTATTATTATTATTATCATTATTATTTTTATTAAGAAAAGTGGATATTATATTGCTATGTTATATTGTGGGGAATATAATCATATTATTATTTTATTTATATTATTTATAATCAAGAAGTTATCTTTAATTATGATCAATACTTTCCGAGAAGTCTATAAGCTTCCATACAATATATAGATTATATATTTATTTATTTTCTTATGATTTATATTTGTATTTTAAGAACTGTATTTTTATTATTTAAAGATGTAAAATTCAAACAAATAAAGATAACTTTTATATAATTTTACAACAATAAAATTATCAGTTCATTAACAGTGTTAAATAAATTATCTAAACGTTTGTAAATAATTGTGATAATTATTTGAACGTTTACACAATCTTACTAGTGATAAAAAATATTCACAAGAAATAGAAAATCTATGGAAGGATTTCAAACAATTATTTGATAAAAAGACTGAACTAAATCCCAATTTTTCATTCAGTGAAATGATCATTGAATTTGTAAATTACTTGCATAGGGAAAAGGTGTTGTTGCTTCCACAATAAAAAACTTTTACCAATGGAAAACAAACCCTAAAAGGAAAACGATAGAAGCAATTCAGAAGTGGGTTGAAAAGGAGAAGATGAAAGTGATGGAGAAGGAAGATGAAAAAGATAATAAAAATAACGAAAATATAAATATTAGTAATAATAATATCATCGATAATAATAAAAAGAATAGCAGTAGTAATAGTGAAAGTTAGATTTTGTCAGGGTGCCCAAAGAATAGGTAATATGTACAAATGGCTTTGGATCCAAGTATTTCCTCCCATGCAAGTGCTCTGACAATTTTTTTAACTTATATTTTTCTATTATTTAGCTGAATTAAAATAAAAATAATTTTCTTTGTCATTAAAAAAAATTTTTTTAATTCCAAGTCATGTGCCCATTAATTTATCAATAAAAAAATTTTTTTTTTTTAAAAACAATTTTTAAATTTTACGTCTTAAAATGTCAATATATGAAAAAATTGAAAAACAATTAATTGTTGTACTTGAAAAATCAAAGAATGCAGATGAAGGAAAAGAAAAGAGGCTGGACGATTTGAAGAGGGGAAGAGAGAAAGAAGAATATGAAGGGGAACAACAAGATTTAGAAAAAGAAAAGGAGAGGTTGTTAAAGAAGGAGGAGGACTGGGGAAAGCAAGTTATACATTTACAAAATGAACTTGTTAAATTTAATGAAAAAGGTAATGAACAAATTGTGTAAAAAAATTATTTTTTGTTTCTTCCATTTCATTTTATTTATTTTTTAATTTTGATACACTTTGACTAATCTTTATTTCTTTTCATGTTGGGTTTTAAGTGAGTACATCAGGACAAAAACGAAAGGCAGAGGAATTTGATGTCACAACAGCTAAAAAGGCTTTCACTGAAAAATTTGTGCATTCAAATAACTTTATGGATGAATTCCAAAATCATATTAAGTATTGTTTGGATACATGTAAAAAGGATCCCTCATATGCTCCATACTTTGCTCTTATTCAAAGTTCAGGATATGGCAAATCTCGTTTGATTGCTGAATTAGCTCAAAACATCTATGTTGTTTACATCTGTTTACGACCAGAAAAGGTCAATGGATATCCTCTTCGTACCAGCATTGTAAGAAATATGATGAACCATTTGCAAAATTGGGAAAAACCAGAAAGTGCTATTGATTGGTTTCAAATGTTTTTAAAAAAAACAATTGCAGTGCTTATTGAGAAGCTTCAAAATAGAGAGCTTTCATGTCCAAGTGATTTTTGGAACATGCAAATGAGTCTAGATGCTGAAAAAAACTTTTGGGATCAAGTAATTCAGAAGATGGATCATGATTTCCAATTTACACCTAATGACATACCTTCTCAACCTCAAGAAAATAGCAGTTTGCATCTTTTTCTCTGTTTTGATGAAGCACATCAATTGCTCTCTGACAAAGATGACAATGTATTATCACCTTTTAGAATAATTCATCATTCTATAAAAGATATTGGATGGGTCAAACATGGGTTCCTTTGTGCCATGCTTGATACAATGGGGCAGTTAGCCAACTTTTCACCTCCAACAAAACAAGATCCTTCCCACAGAATTAGAGATGAAAATATTAAGTTACTTCCACCATTTATCAATGTTATGACATTTGATGCACTTGATTACAAACTGAAAGATCATCCAAATCATTGCTTGCTCTTTGGCAGACCATTATGGGGATCCAGTATTATTGCAGGGAAAGACATTAAGGAAGTAGTGGAATTTGCAAAATGCAAACTCTTGGGGGGATACCAATTATCAGACTTGATAAAACCAATAGAATATATATTTAATGATGAAGAAAATAGATTTGCTGTTTCTTTGGCTATATTAAGCTGTCTTGTCTCTCTGAATATTTCAACTCAATCTCAGCTTACCCATTTATTGGTGGGCAGTTATATGGGTACTTGTATTGGTGTTTCAAAAAGTAGAGAAAATATTTTAACCATATATCCTTCTGAACCTATTCTTTCTGAAGTTGCTTTGCAAATTATTGAAATTGAAACAAATAGAAGATTCATTCTTGACCGACTTGAAACTTCATTAAAGAATGGGCTTGTTGAAGCAGGACATCATGGGGAACTTGTTGCATGCCTCATTCTTATATTTGGATGGCAACATATGTTACAAGGTACATCTTTTTATACAGAAGAGAGATCTGTAGAGGAATTTTTGAACACAATTTTTGGAGACATTAAAATCCACATTAAAGAAAATAATAAATTCAGACATCTGAAACTTGAAAAGAGTTTTCTAGAATCAAAAATTTGTTTTACACATTTCATTCAGCTCATTGAACCACCAAATTGTCTAGTCCTAAAAAATCTTTTTGACCATAGTGCAGGAGCAATTTTAAAATGTAATGCATATGGTGCTAATCTTATGATACCTGTCAAAATAAATAATTCATCACAAGAAAAGTACTCATATATTTTAATACAAGTGAAAAATTACTCAATTTCTGGACAAGCATTCACATATAATGCTACTAAGAAGTTATCACCATCTAATGTCTTTGAAGGGAGTGAATTAGCTAATCTTGGATTACCTTATTTATGTTTTTATTGGTTGCTAGGTGCAACTACTGATAATTTAAACAAAGAATTTATGACATGGGAAGGTTTTGAGCAACACCTTGGAATTTTTTCATTGGAGCCATTTTCCTTTCTTTCTCTAGATCTTAAAAATAAATTGTATGCTATATTATCTGCATACATTAATCCATTTGACAGTTTATGGAAGCAAGAATCAACAATCAACCTTGAACAACATAAAAAAAATGTTAGGTCATTCTTCCCAGATCTAAAAAAAATGAAATAAAAATCTTTTGTAAAGTCATATCCAACTAATTAATTTAAAATATTATTAATTTATTAGAAAAGATATCTCATCATTTCTTAAACTTTTTGCTATATTTTTATTTAAAAAAATAGTAAAAACTTTCTTGTAGTCATGAAATTTTCATTGACATAATAATTCCTTTTATCAATAATGTCACCAATCATTGTTTTGGGAGAGTGTGTTAATTGATGATAACAATATAGTTGGCTTGGTCTAAAGACCTCCTAAATTTTGGGCAAATTTTAAAAGAGTAGATAACAATATACATAGGTAAACTCGATAAGTCGGACACAAATGGCTGGACATGGTGTCCAACTTATCAAGAGATCCGACTTATCAAAATATGCAATTTTACAAAAAAAATAAAAATAAAAAAATAAGAAAATCGTTGTTTAAATCATATTTATTTATTTATAATAATAATTGAAAAAATAATTTAATAAAACAGATAGAAGATAAAACAAAAAAATCTCCACTCTTTATCTAAATAAATATTCATACTAGTTTGTACTAAAGAATTATTTTGTTTTCTATTAATTTTCCATTTTAAATCTTTTAATCATTTAATGATGAAACAACAAAACGTGAATTCATTTAATGATGAGATAATAAATGACATAATAGATAAATATAACAATAAAATACATTATTTTCAAAGACAAATTTTTTAAAATGATTATAATTGATAATAATATTATTCACGGAACAGATTTATTTACAAATCATGAATAATGGAAATTATTACAAAAATTTATTGATAATACATTACTAAAAATAGTAAAGATTATCTCTCAAGATTTATGAAAATCATGTGAACCGACTTATCGAGAGTCATTTATTATTATCTGGCTGGAGGAGTTGTCTGACTTACAGCTTAACAAGAGTTTATATATGTGTCCGACTTATCAAGAAATTTTTAAATATAAAAAAAAGGGCTGGAAATTTTTGTCCGAGTTAGGCCAAATCCAACTTATCGAGTTTACCTATGTATATATATTATTATCTACTTACGTTAGACTATTACATACTTATGATTAGACTGATACATATTTATGATTAAACTGTTACCTACTTATGATTAGACTGTTACCTAATTATGATTAGACTGTCACCTAATTATTTTTGGGTACTCATTTTGGTATCTAGTTGGCTTGATATTCACGAATTCGTCATCATTTAGGTTATGATTGATTCACGAATTTGTCATCATTTGGGTTACGATTTGACCCACGAATTCGTTGTTGTTTGGATGACGATTGATCCACAAATTTGACGTCATTTGGATAACGATTTGACCCACGAATTCGTTGTTGTTTGGATGACGATTGATCCACAAATTCAATGTCATTTGTAATTATTAATAAATTAGACTATTTTGTGGTCAAATTGTACATTGATCGAGTAGTCTAATAAATTACTACAAAAACGTATAAATAGAACCTCTATCCCCCACTTCTAGACCAAAAAACCAATTCGTAAAAAAAAAATACGTATCTCCTATACCACTCACTATAAAAAATACATTTCCTAGGTGAATTGCCAATTTTTTCAATTGCGGAGATGGGCATGAAATGCCAAATTGGCATTCTGTATTTTGGCTTTGTACGTTGCATTCGAATGCCGATCGAGGGTGAGGTACATAGTGCCGAAATAGTATTCATGATCTGGTTTTGCATGACGCATTCGAATACCAATCGAGGATGAGGTACGAAGTGCCGAAATTGTATACTTACCTGTTGTTATCCAAAGGCACAATTTTTATAATATATATATTTTTCTATAATAATTATACTTTTGGCTATCACCGAAAGTATACTATGTTTTGCGGTCCTGGAACACTTTCTCGTATAGTTGATGCTTTTGAGTATCATTTTTTCTTGTCAAAAAATCGACCTATGCTTTGTCATTTTACTATCGAAAAATTGTTCTTACTTTTATGTATCACTTTGGCGTACTACCGAATCAAAAAATTCCTGTAAAAAATCGGATCATTACTGAATCAAAAAATTTGTTTGCACTTTTAAAAATTGGATACATTACATCAAAAATCGGATTATACTTTTGCGTATCACTTTGGACCATACTTTTGCGTATTACTTTGGATCCAAAAAATTGGATCATACTTTGACGCATTACCTTTACGTATTACTGGATTAAAAAATTGGATCATACTTTTACGTATTACCTTTGCGTATTTGCTAAAAATTCGACCTATGCTTTGACGTATTACTGGATCGAAAATTTGGATCATACTTTTACGTATTACTTTAGATCATATTACTGGATCGAAAATTTTGATTACTTTTACGTACTACCGAATCGAAAAATTTGTTTGCACTTTTGCGTACTACTGCATGATAGTTTCATTTCACATCAAAAAAATTGGATCATACCTTTATTGTTTTTGATGCATCCAAAATTGGATACTAGTA